TTTAAATAACTAGAGGTTTTTTAATATCACTCCAATCTCCAATCCATAAGGATTTGGGGTAGTGTACATGTAACTATTTCTTTTTTTTTTTATTGTATGTATTGGTGCTTTTATTGTATATATTGGTGCTGCCGCCTAGGATTAGTGGGTGTTTGAGCACAGGGCTTAATTTTGTATGACCCATGAAAGACATGCCAGATTTGTATTCTGATGGGGGCACGGGGTATAACATAAGGCTGAAAATAATATGTAGGAGACTTGTTTTTGACTTGTCATAATGTATTGAGGGCCATAAGGTATTGATACTTTTAACTAAATAAGAACTGAAAAGGTAACTGCAAATATTAGTCTAAAACAGCTAAATTAGTGAAATTCCCCAATTCTGCAGTTTTTAATACTTCTATGCTATTTTTGGCCTAAAATTCTCAATACCTTTTTAAATTCCCACTTTACTGAATACTTCAACATTGAACCGTCACAGCCATATATTTCCCCTTTAAGTGCCAAGTAAGAAGAGGTTAAGCAATCCACTGTACAAAACACTGTTCATTAGCCCTTGTGTTCAGTGTGGTTGTAGTGAGCATATAGCCATTAGCAAAGAGGTTTGCTAAAGAGGTTTTGTGTTTATTAATTATTCAAGTGAACTCATAGACATGAATCCTTTATTCAGTTTTGTGTTGTTTAATATTAAAGAAAAACAGGTTTCATAGTTTTGAGTATGTTCCACGTCCATCTTTATACCACTCATACAATTCTAGTATTTTCTAAAACAGTTACAAATATCTAGACAAATAGACTGTATATAGGCAGATATACTGTAGTTTTTTAAAAGATGCAGTTTATTTTTAATTAACTATTTTGTTGTAGTTGTTACCAAAACAACTTTAGCGTAATGAAGCTGTACTGTTGTATAGATCATTCCATGCAGCCTCACTTCTCGATTTTCTGCCATTTAGGAGTTAAATCACTTTGTAATCCCAGTCACACCTCTCTGCATGTAACATGTACAGTTTTCGTAAACACTTCCTGTAAAGTGAGATCTAATGTCTACACTTCCCTTATTGCACAGCCTACTGTGTGTGGTTAAAGTTCAATTTACAGAGCAGGCGATAAAAACATCATAGAAACATAGAATGTGACGGCAGATAAGAACCATTTGGCCCATCTAGTCTGCCCTATTTTCTAAATACTTTAATTAGTAGTAGTTAACTATGTCATTCTTATGGAGGCGGTCCTAAATGCCACCAGGCTGCATAGCACATCCTAGTCGTCCTTCCAGCTTACCTGTCCGCCAGCGTTCCTACGCTGGTGATCACGCTGGG